GTTGGACATAATATAAAAATGGAACAGTGGGAAAATATGTGGATGAAAGGGTTAAAATTTACACTGTGATAATTTGAAGGAGAATTTCTATAAAATGATGTATTGATGGTATTTGTCACCAGAAATATTATCCAAAATGTACAAAGGGGATTCAAACGTATGTTGGAAATGTGAACAACAAGAAGGGACTTTTTATCATCTTTGGTGGACATGTAATAAGGCTAAAAGATTTTAATGTACAAAGGGGATTCAAACGTATGTTGGAAATGTGAACAACAAGAAGGGACTTTTTATCATCTTTGGTGGACATGTAATAAGGCTAAAAGATTTTGGACCCAAATTCATATATTCAGAAGATCTTGAAGGTTAATATACAGTTAAAACCAGAAATTTTCCTTTTGGGACTGATGGACAGTTTAATTGTTTAATTGGAAAAAGCTCATGGACCTTTGTTTTTATATATGATAACTGCAGCTAGACTTTTATATGCTCAAAGTTGGAAAGACTTGACATTACCGGCTAAAAGATTTTGGACCCAAATTCATATATTCGGAAGATCTTGAAGGTTAATATACAGTTAAAACCAGAAATTTTCCTTTTGGGACTGATGGACAGTTTAATTGTTTAATTGGAAAAAGCTCATGGACCTTTGTTTTTATATATGATAACTGCAGCTAGACTTTTATATGCTCAAAGTTGGAAAGACTTGACATTACCCACAATGGAAGAATGGATCATGAAGATGATGGAGTTAGCTGAGATGGCAAAATTGACAGCTTTGCTTAGAGAGAAAACATTGACTAATACAAATTGGAAGCCCCTTTTGGACTTTTTGCAGGAGACAGAAAAAAATGAAATTTTGATTTATGGATTTGATGACTAGTTAAAATAGCAGGTTATACAAAATATGTAAAGATGAAGTTTTAGAGTAAGAGGTCACTATATGATTTATCTATATCTTCTGAATAAGAAGTTGGAATTCTTTTTGTAATTTTTCCTTTCTTCCCTTTTCTTTACTTTTCATCACTTTTGTATTCTTTATTTCTAACTCTCTTGTTTTCTGCTTCTCTCTTTGATTATTAGTTCTTGTTTTCTTTTAACGGTATGCTTTTTATAACTTAATAAAGTTCTTATTAAAAAAATATTTCAGTGAAGCCAACAGTTACCTCCCCCTTGATACCTTTGCTTTTTAAAATCTTTGTACCATTTTTCTATATAGATATTAATGCCACTCTGGGACTAGAGCACATGTCCATCAGATTCTTTTTCATTTGTTTTTAAAGAAGCAAATATCAGGACTATGGTATTTTCCTCCAGAACCAGACTTCCTCTCCCACCTCCCTTCCCACAATGGTCTTTGAATGAGAATTTTCATGTATTGGGTCATGAATCAAGATAATCAAGATAAATCTGAAATAGTATTCTTGATGCTTTGTTCTAGGCACATCAGAAGGTAGCTGGACTCTACTAGGAGTTCAGCAGGATCTGCTAGTGGTGAGCTGTTCATCTCCCAATTGCCCTCCAAGTCTGGTAAGAAATTTCCTGTGCAGGTCGAGATAAGGGTTGCTTCGAGCTTCCATTTCCCCATTACCTTATTTTTCATGGAACCATGATAAATTCAGAGGCTTTGGTAAGCTATCATCATTACTGTATTTTTTTCCATATACTTGCATGAGAAATTTTTATGTTTATCTTCTTTCTAAATTAACCTTTAGAAGGTTTGGACTAATCCTCCTTCCCTTAAAAAAATCAGTTTGGACATTCATTTGTTTACATTATGTACATCAACATACAGTCAACTGAATACATCTCAGCCCAAGCTCTGGTGCCCTAGAAAACTTGTTCTCAAAATGGAGGTTCATGACAGACATGCCTCCAAATCATGAGTTGTGCTAGTCATAATTAAAGAGTCAGACAATAGTTTGAGCAGTGGGCAAAGCATCATTTTAAGCTGCTTGCTTCCTTTTGTTCAGCTTCATTAAGTCATCATTTTTTCCTTTGAAGCAGGCCTCCAATCATCACTGTGATTTCTAAGTTCAGATTCAAACCAGAAAACCGCAAATAGCATAAACTGCTTTGAAAGCCACCTCGAACCAATGGTCTGATATCTTAATTAGGCATTATGTTTGAGAGGAAAGCTAGTGAGCTAAGTCTCTTATAATTTGCAGGAAATACACATCCTGACACAAACAAGGACAAAACTAACTCCCTTCAAGCCACACATAATGCTAAGAGATTGTGTGACACTATATCATTCAAGGTAGTGCTTCTAGTAACAGCATATTATATCTGCTTTGTAGAAGGTGGGTGTGCTTCCCCCTGCAGGGAGTGAGCTGGAGCTACAGTGGATCAGTGTGGAGGAATCTTCTGTACTACCTGGCATGGAATGGAAAATCCTCACAGTGCATCCTGCTTTGTCTGAGGAGGGCAGCCCATACAGTAAGGAAGCAGGTCCACAGAGCTTCCTCCTAGACTTACGACTATCTCACTTGCTTTCCTAGTTGGCTGGAATTTATTGTGGGCTTTGCATTTAGTGGTCCTAGATGGAACTAGACTTGACTCCCTGGCATAGTAAAGAGTAACAACTGGATTTATGGGAATGATAAGGACAATTATGCAGAAGAGTAACATACTTTAGCCAAAAATAAAGTTAAATGCTTTTGGTGTAAAGATGAGATCAGACTCAATGCTACTATGCTCTTGAGTGCTGGAAGAATCCAAATCAGAATGAAGAGGATAAAAAAAGTGTTACACGCATCTGAATTCTTAGCTCAGGATCTCCTTGTGCTGCTTCATTGAAAGGGACATACTGCTCTCCTTTCATTTCCTGATTTAAGGATGGGACAAGTTGGAATTTCATAGAATTCTGTTGGGTGCTACTTAAAATAGAGGAGCTCTAAGGCATTAATAATTGACTTGAAGAAAACTATCAATTCCTTTGGCAAAACATTTGGAATAGACCTGGCTAGGTGGCAACATTTAGCCAACCTTAACTAATCTCAAAAAGCTAAGTAGGGTTGAGTTCTTCCCCGGGAGCCATCAGGAAATTCCAGGGCTCTTGCCAGACTAGAAAATCAAAACAGTATCCTGGAGTTTTCTTCTTTTACACATACACTTTGCTTTCAGGGCTAGGTTTTTACAAGATGCTGTTTCATCTTTTGTTACCCAAAGTGTTTCAATTTATAGTTGATCAGTAAATCCATTCAAATCACACATAAGTTGAGAATCCATAGAAAGAGCACCTTATTTGATACATTGTGATCTGAAGGCAACTTTTAATACTATAGGTACATATTGAGAAGGCTTTCAATTTGAAGCATCCTATGCTGGGATTTTCCCAGATAGGTGGTAGTGCTGGTCACAAAAGCCATGTAAAGTTAAACCTGGTTAGTACTTGGATGGGAGACTTCCAGGAAATATGAAGGCTCTAGGCTAGACTGGGTCAAAAACAAGCATCATGGGAAAGGGGAATGACAGATCATTTCAGTTTTGCTTTTGAGAAAGCTACATGGACTTTCATGAAATCACCAGGAGTCAAGCTTGACTCAGAAGACACTTAACCTTGTTTAGCAATAGAAAAAGTGCACCAGCCTCCTCAAGGCAAAAATTTGGCCATAATTGAGAGGAAAATAGTTTTCAGGATTGTTATTTGTGTTACATTTGTTTATCACAATTGGGATTTAGATTTTCTATCTCAGGAGCAAAATGTTTTTGGTTCAGACTGCATAACATAAGAGAACATCTTATGCTTGGGGTCGTGAACAGGAGGAACTGGTAGACTGAACAAAGGAGGGATGTACTTAGAAAGCTGACTTCCGTTGGGCAGTAAAGTTTGAAAGATGATCTTCAAAACTCACTTTTGGCCTTTCTTATAGCTGCCCAGTCATTTGAAGCCCTATTGCTGATTCCTCAAGAAAACAAACAAGGAGAAAAGGCCTTTCCCCTTATTGTTTCTCCGCATGGTAAGTCACATTCATTCTTCTCTTTGGCCTGAGTAAGCAATCACAGTGCCCTGACAATTAGTCCTAGCTTTCTGGCTTCTTTTCCATTTTTTCCAGGATGTGATCAAAGATGGCCCTAATTTCATTTTCCATTTTTTACTAGCTGATGAGGATATCTGTTGAAGTTCCTTAAAATTTAAAAGGGAAAAAGTTATTTATTAGACAGAACTATAGTTTGCTGCTTTAATGAGTAGAGCCACGCTTCCAAGGTACCAAATATATTTTGTTGAGCAGGATTTCCAGTCTCTGCTTGTTGCCTTTTTCTCCTCCAATGCTGGATTTCTGCTTTCTTACTAATGAAGAAGAGTGATGATAGAACATTCTAGATTCTCAGATCACTTTTCCAAAATCGGGAAAAAGGAAGCACCAGTCCATTTGTGTGTATCTGCCATTCTCTTTCCAGGTGGCCCACATTCAGTTTTTGATGCTTGCTGGCGTCCAACTGTGGCATGTCTCTGCCAGCTGGGTTTTGCTGTGCTCATGGGTGAGTAGCCCAGAATTCCTGCTTTTAATTTTCTTTGCTTATCTAAGGATTTATCCGGAGACACTGCATACATTTTACTATAGATGGTCCTCAGTTAATGGCCACTCGTTCAGCAACTGTTTGAAATTACAACAGCACTGAACAAGTGGCACTTACAACCGGTCCTTGAAGTTCCAGCTGTCACAGCATCCCCATGTGATTGCGATCCAGGCACTCAGCAACCAGCCCAGATTTCCAACCTTCACAGCATCCCACAATCATTTGATCGCCATTTGCAACCTTCTCTGCTGGCTTCCTACAAGCAAAATCAACAGGGAAGCCAGCAGAAAGTTGGAAGTCGCAGTGACATGAATTCCTCACTTAAAGACCCGTGGTGATTTGCTTAACAACGGTAACCAGGGACTGCTGGAACTGCAGTTGCTAAACAACACAGTCACGTGACATTGCACTTTACGACCGTGTCACTTAGTGATGGCAGTTCCAGCCCCAATTACTGTTAAGGGAGGACTACCTATACTTGTGAAATGGTCCTGTGTGTAGTACTTCAGTTAATTAGATTAAAAAGGTAGACTTTTCTTCAGAGGAATCTTGTGACTCCTTGAGAGGATCGTTTCTCTTCTCTTTGGTCTTGGAATGGAATGAGCTATTATTTTCAGTAAACGCTCTTCTTCCTGCATTGTTCATTTGAAACTTGTTAAATTGATTATTGAATCTCACTATCCAGGAAAACTGTCTAAATAGTACCTATAATTGTCGTTTACAAGCGGGAATCAAACTGTGGCTTGCAGTCTTTGTAAGCAATGCTCACACCACAATTTTATGATTAAAACTATATCGGACACTGTTTTAACAAGCAAGGAAGTGACCTGGAAGACTGGCGTACTTGAGCTGGTTGCTTACTCCCTTTCCGACTAAACCACAGTTATCTGAGTAGCAAAATGGCTTCAGAACCAGGCCATGGGAGACCAATAACAGCGCAGGGCCTTGTACTTCTCATGTAGCAGCTTCACATTCATACGTGGGTTTTCTTTGGCTGTAGAGATGCTGCAGTATTTGATTTTTGAAAACAGCACTGATGGTCCAGTGCCTTTTCTGGAAGCTGCTCACAACCTTGGGGGGCCTGAAAAGCTCTGGAGGCCACCCTTCACTTACTCTTGTGCTTTGTTTTGTCTAAGCAGTGAATTACAGGGGTTCCCTGGGTTTTGGCCAGGACAGCATTGACTCACTGATCTCTCATGTTGGAGTGCAAGATGTGGAGGACACTCAGGTCAGTCCCTTTTATTTCTTTATTTTTCCCCCATTCTGTGGAAGAGGCCTGGGGTTAGGCCAGGTTTGAGGCTAGAACAGAGGGTGAAATAATTGCGTAATATTTCATCCTCTTTACAACAGTGGATAATCCACCTCCTTTTTGGGTTAGGAGAACAAGCTATGGTCATGGACATGGTGACTGCAAGGCAACTCTGTCATATAGTGTGGTCTCTGCCAGGGTGGGGTCATCTTCTCTCCATACCTTTTGGCTTCTCCACACAGTTGGATGTGTTAGTCCTTGGCAGATTCATCCCAGCCAGCTTGATGAAGTGCACAGGTCACAGGTGTTGGAAGAGCGAACTCAGTATTTTGAGTAGCAAAGCACTACTGGCACAACCCCATGCATAAAGTTTCTATTGACTGTCAGCATCCCTTTGTTTGAAGAAAAAGTTCTTTCTCCTGTATAAACAATGGATGTTTGCTGAGCCTTGTAGGAAGAGTTATTAAGGATCTTATACATCATGGGCATGGCAGGCCACAAGTTCGGTTTTGTGAACTACATTGCACTCTGCTGCCAAAGAAACTGCTTACTGCACCAGGTCTGGTTGTGCAGCAGCCCCTGAAAATATACTTGCAATTTGCTTAATGTTCCTCTTGCAGCTGGCGGTAGAAGCGGCACTACAGATGGAGTCTTTGGACCCAAATAGAATTGCCTTGTTGGGAGGCTCTCACGGTGGCTTTATCTGTTGCCATTTGATTGGTCAGTATCCAGAGATGTACAAAGCCTGTGTGGTCAGAAGCGCCGTCATCAACATGGCCACTCTACTGGGGACCTCTGACATTCCTGATTGGTAAGAAGCATGCCTCCTCAAGCTTCCTGCATGGTCCAGCCTAAGAGATTGGCTTTTTTGCCTCCCATCCATTACAAACCCAGTTCACTCACATACATACATACATACATACATACATACATACATACATACATACATGTTTTTGGGTCTCTTGGCCATTTTCATAAGTGCATGTCTCTGTTGCATTATTTCTCATCCTAGTTCAATTCCTGTATAGATCTGCCTGATCCTCACTGTTCAGATGCCACTCATCCTCCTCTTTCCTTTCTGAGCCTTTCACAAATGCCATTTCTGCAATTGTCTATCAATCAGATTATTTGGCTTCTCTGTAGGGCTCAGGGAGGAGAGCGTGGGGCTAAATATTCTGCACCATTTCCACAGGCGATACGCATCTCTAGGTCTGCCATATTCCTATGAGCGGATTCCTACAGAAGAAGATCTGGCCGCCATGCTGCTCTGCTCCCCCATAATTCATGCTGCAAAGGTAAGAACCAGTTAGTGAAGCTGCTCATTCATTGCAGAACTTGCACCTCTAACAAACATCTTGTGTTCTTTTTTTCTCTTTTTCTCTTTATTTCATGTCTAAAGCTCTCTATGTTCTCATGCAACAGTAAGTTCAGCACCAGCAGTGCTCAGATGTAGAATTTAGAACTGTGCCAAGAAATGTGTTCAAGCAGAGTCCAGATGGGCATTTGTTGGGAATGTTTTAATGTGGATTCAACTTGATGGCCAAAATGTCCCCTTCCAACTTTTTCATTTCATTGATTGATTATGTGCCATTAAGTCAGTATTGACTCTTAGCAACCACATATTTTTATCTCCTGTGGCTATAGTCAGAATGTTTGTAAGCTGCCCTGAGAAAACCTGGCTCTGAATAGTAGCTTATACATTTAAATAAATGTATGTTTCCTCTCAACTCAGTAGAAAAGAAAGAGCAAGAGGATTGTATATGTATATAAGCCTGCCTACCTGTCAGTACTGATGTGGGTGCAATCTCATTAAACCAGTAAGGCTGCTCTGAACCAACCCTGTAAATGACAGAGGACAAATTGTACCATTAGCTTAATTTGAAGGATTTACATAGTTGTATTCTGCCATTTGGGGTCCACATTTTACTTGTTTTATTTTATTTTGTTTGAGAACAAATATAAACAAACATGCTTGGCTCAATATTACGAGCAGTGTTTTCTTTGGGCTGCTCACCTCTTGGCTCCTCCTTTTCCTACAGGTACAAGCACCACTGCTGCTGTGTGTTGGTGCAAAGGACCGCCGAGTGTCTCCGTACCAAGCTTTGGAATATTACCGTGTGTTGAAAGCTAGAGGAATCCCTGTGCGGTGAGTTCCCACTTAATTTATTGAGTCAAATGCAAGGAAATCCTTCTTGACCTTTTTGTTTGGGCAGGTTTCCAAGACCAGATACTATGACTCTTGCCTTGATTGTACTGCAGTGAATTTGCCAGTAGTGTGGAAAAGCAAAACTGAATTTGAATACAGGTAGTCCTCACTTACCGACAGTAATTGGGACCGGGAACTCCATCACTAAGCAACGCGGTCGTAAGGCACGATGTCATGTGACCACGCCAACTTATAACAGCAGTTCCAGCAGTCTCAGTTGCCATCATTAGGCAAATCCCGTGTGGTTGCAGCATCCTGCGGTCACATGATCATCATTTGCGACCTCCTGCTGGCTTCCCCGTAGACTTTGCTTGTCAGAAGCCAGCAGTGAAGGTCACAAATGGTGATCATGTGATTGAGGGATGCTGTGACATTGTAATTGTGAGCCAGTCACTGAGCACCCAAATCATGATCACATGACTGTGGGGACACAGCGACAGCTGCAATTATGAGGACCCATCATAAGGACCCCTTGTTTAGTACCGTTGTAACTTCAAATGGTTACTGAACAAGTGTATGTTAAGCGAAGACTGCCTTACAGGCATATTTGGAGGAAGGATTCTTCTGCAATTTGATTGATCCTCAAATATGCCAGCACACTTCTTCCATTTTTTTCACAATACTGAAGCATAAGAAGGCTTGATTTTTTATGATTTACCATTTACATCTAATCTCATCCCAAAAGATGAGAATGGTTTATACACAGTGGATAGGTCTGCATATCGTTCTAGGCCAAAAACAAGCAAATCATATGGTGCCTTAGTTTTATGTGCAAACAAGCCACTGCTCTTGGCCAATAGGACATCCAAATTAGAGGAAGCAGCAGGCTGTCCTTTACAGGATACTTGTGAATCAGTGTCTTCCATTGTAATCAGAGGGAACAAATCTGATTTAAGTACCATCTCTATATTCATATGCTAACTTTCCAAATAAACACATTAGAGCATTTCTGTTTGGCAGCAAGATAAAATAATTCACAATACAGGTAGCCCCCAGTTTAAGAATGAGTTCCGTTCCCAAGGTCTGTCCTTAAGTCGAATTTGTATGTAGGCTGGAACAGTATTTATTTATTTATTTACTAAATTTATACGCCGCCCATCTCCCTCAGAGATGGGTGGCATATAAATTATACAGTATAATACTGTATAAGTAGCATTGTGTAATGAACTCGAACCATTAAGTATTTAACTCGAATCATTGTGTATTTAACTTGAATTTTGCTATAATAGGCTCTGTTCTTAACTATGGGTCATCCTTAAACCAGACATTCTTAACCTGGGGACTACATGACAGACAACAACTAATTTACAACATGAAAGAAGCTAAGTAGCCTGGTACAAGAAAACTGGTTGATAGTGGAAAAGCACAGTAGAGAAATTCAACCCATAAATAATAGTATTCAGGCTTCTGCTTTGGAATATTTAATCAACAAGAGGTATATTGTTAAAGAAATTATTCTGCACTAACGGTTGAGAAAAGGAAAAGAATAAGGCAGACTTCAAAGATGTATTTCTAAATAAGTTATGAATAACAGTTCCGATATCAAAAGGAAGATATATTTAATTATTTTCATTCAAACTGTAATTGGCTCCTTTTCATATTATTCCCTCAACTTGCAAATCTTCCAAGTTCTTCCAAGGACATGGCTCTTCTAAGCAAAAATTTCTGCCACACATTAACTTGGAGTCTTAAGAACATTATTCTGTTCCATTCTGATTGATTTACATATTTATACCATTTTTTGTACTTAAATCAGTAATCCAAACAGCTAACCAAATGTTTTTTAAATCCAAAAAGTTTTTTTTTTTTGGATTCTTAAAATCCAAAGGTATAATTTAAACTTAGTACTAAAATTGATTCACAAATGCCAGGCAAAAGTAGTACATCTTGACAGATTTTCTAAACTCAGAGAATGGAGGAAAATGTAGTTCCTAAGAGAATATATTCCATAGCATAAAAAATCCCTTTCCTGCTTTCAGATAAAAGAATCTGTAACAACAGGAGTATCTTTGGAAGACCTCTGAACACCCAGGCAGGTTCATAATGGGTCCAGTAGTCCCTCAGTTCCTAGCCATTTATAATTCTGTAATAAGCAATAAGTAACTAATACAGATACTTTAGTAAACACATTATGTAATCCTTTATCCTAAGTAGAACAGATGTACCAGTTTTGTACCAACTGCAATTTCCAGATACTTTTCAAATGTTCCATGCAGAGTGCACTGTAGGAGTCAAGACAAGATCTAATCTAGGCAAGAATAAGAACTACCAAATCTGATCTAGCCATAAGTGGGCGAACATGTAAATTCAGTGACAACATAGGATTAAGGAACATCTCAAGATTTCATATTTTCAGTTTTAGAAGAAGTGCAGCCCTATGTAAAACAAGCTGAAACTTAATACTGAATCCAGTTTCCTCTTTCCAATAGCACCTCCATCTTGTTTTCATTTAATTCGAACTTGTATCATTCACCCAGCCCATTGTGGAACTTAGGCATCGTTTAAGGATATCTTAATGCTTCTTGGTGTTGGATGGTAAGCAACAATACATCTCAGAGGCATCAGTATGCCTTGGAAGCATTGGGTGGCATCCCACTCAAGATTCCAGTTGATCTCCCCACTGATTGTCTGTTGACACTGAATAGCAAGGGGGACAAAACTGAACTTTGTGAGACATTGCAAATAAATAGGCAAGGTGTTAACAGCATTCTTCAACGTTACCTTTTGGACCTAGTTCCCAAGGCCCAGGCCCAGACTGTCTAGAAAAATACCATGATCGATAGGATTGAACAGGCACTGAGAAACCCAGGAGAAATATTAGGGCTGGACTTCCATCATGTTTCCAGCATAAACCATCCACTAAGTCACTCAATATTATATCCTGGCTGAAAGCATGATTGAAATGGGTCCTGATAATCAGCAACATCCAGACGCCTATAGATGCATAAGGCCCACCATCTTTTCAGTCTCCTTTCCTAGGGACGGAATGTTTGAGATATTACACAGATCAATAATTGCACGAATCAAGGTAAGAGTTTCTTCAATGGAAATATTAGATAGGGGGGAACATATCCCATTTATGAGGTGACACTGATTGCCTCCCTTAATCAGGGGCCCAATCCTTTCCTGGCCAATTTAATCACCCATGAGTAGTATTGATGGAACAAGCTGGTAATAACCTTTATTTCTCAATTCTCTGTCCATATCCTCAAATTTACAAGCTAGAAAGAATGCAGAATAGCAGACCAAGCAGCATCAGAGGTTATATTGTAAACTGGCCCAACTAAATTCAAGTGGAGCCAATGGACTTTATACACAAAGAGCAATGCAAATGACAGGTTGCTCAATCTGCTGCTGCAGTTTTATTTTTTTTTGAGAGAGAATAGCAGCAAGGTTATATGCCTGAGTGTCCAACTTCCTTGTGTCTGTTACATGCAGGTGGTGTTACTGCAGCTGACTATGCTGAAAATCACATAGAAGAATATTTCAATATTGCTAAAATTAGATTGGTTCATGATTGGAATTATCGTGTTCCAAATCAGGCAGATGGAATAACAGTGAATGCTGAAGAGAGAGCCCCTTATGAAGAAGCAGGGAACCATTGGCACTGACAGATGACAGAGAGAAGTTGACTGTAAGAATATATTGGCATAGCTTTTTAAAAAATAAGTGACATTTGTTTGTTTATTTTAAAATGTCTGTACTGTCATTCAAAGCAAATAATTTCCCACAGCAGTTAAGGAATATTTTAAAAGCTCATGCCAAAGAATGAATTAATTAAAGAAAGAGTTAATTAAAAACTACCTTGTAACATCAATGATAGTTCTAACAAAAAAAATAATTAAAAATAGTTGCTAGACAGGAGAAATAAAATCAATAAGCCTCACTATTGCATAACTAGAAGTGAGAAGTCTCATTTTTCCGTTGCGGTGCTTGCCTTCTAGTCTAGAATCCCCCCCAGAGACCCAGACAGTTCCCACCCTCATGGTCTTCTGAAAGTCATTGAAAACTTAGCTTTTCTCCCAAGCCTGGCTATAAGGCAGCTGATGAGCCCCTGTTGGTTTTTCTTTGGAGTGTTTTTTTTTGGGGGGGGGGTTCTGTTTGTCCTTCCAGACATTCAGGATTTTTCATGATTTTTCTTTCTGTTTTTATTGTCTTTTATAATATATAATGTACATTTTATAATGTAAACTGCCCAGAGCCATCTGGAGATGGGCAGCCTCTAAGAAATAAATTAAATAAATAAATAAAATGTCTAGTTAAAATTAAAATCACATGAGAATAGAAATATCTTTGCCAGCCACCTGAAGACAATAAAGTTTGTGTCAGATGAACCTCCCTTGAGCAAGTTATTCTAGAACTGGATGAAGGGGATGTACAGCATCTCTCTGTCATTCATTAAAGCGGCCTGAGTTATTCCAGGCTTCTCTGTGAGCTTGAAAAGAAATGCTGCTGCTTTAAGAAGTCTGCTCACTAAAGTTAATGCACTTGTATGCAAGCCTGAAAAATGACAGACTGTTTTAATTAATAGGAGAGAGGTGCTGTGCTTAGGCAACCTTGAAACACTTCTTCCAAATCATTTCAGCAACATGCAGTGCCCAAATTGGTAGTAACAGCTATCAGGAAACCTGTCCCTTTAGGAATACCTCTAATCCTTTCTGGCCTCCCAAGGGGCAGAGCAAATAGCTTTGAGAATGGCTTGGTCACGGTAATCCATCACGGAGCATAAAGTGAAGTCCATACAAAGAGAAAGGGCAATGGGACTGCATAATCCTGTGGGAATTTGTGCTTAATCTAGAGGAACCTGTGCAAAATACTTTACTGGTGTTCCTTTTACAGACTGATGTGGTATCCAGAAGGGAATCATGCCATAAGTGGAGTGGTAGCTGAAGCAGATGTCTTTATGAATTGTGCCCAGTGGATCATACATCATCTTTCCACAAAAGTAGATTGAAAGTCAACAGCCAACTAAATAAGAAGACATCTAGATTGCTGAGGAGCAAAGTGTCTGTGTTCATATATATCCAATTGCATTACAATGATCTTCATAATGTGTCAGGAGTTCCTTCTTCCCCACTTCAATATGCAATCAGGTTGTGGGCATCTGAAGATTCTTCTCTGCTGATAATCCTTTCATGACGCTTTTGAGGAAATCTGCTGCTAATGGTACAAATATCTACTCAAATCCTAATTCTGATTGAAGAATGGATTTCTGATAACTGGCATTGCAGCAGAGCTCTGCTGTTAGACTGCTGAATGTTATAATCAATCAAGCCAGTTTGTTTATTTGAATAAATGAATATGGTGACATAATCCAAAGGAAATTCTCCAATAAGGTTTCACATTTGCAACTGAGTATTTTATTAGTGATGGGGATCTTATATGAGCAGAACTCAACATGAATGACATTTATCAAAGTGTCTTTTCATTCTTTCCCAGTTCTCTAATGAAGCATTTGCTGCTTTTAGGATCTCCCCATGGAAGATGCCAACCATCTTCCTCTGCCACTAAACCTGGAGATAACTGCAAATTACAAATATTTATGTTTACCATATATATTAATAGTAAACTCATTCACCAGTTGTGGACTCTTATGCAGCTGAAACATCATCTCACACAGGAGATGAATCAGCAGCATCTTGGTGGGGTTGAGGAGAATAGGGGAAAGTACTGAAGGAAGAAGACCCAAAAGAGTCAGCAAGGCCTGAGTATGATCTATGACTTTGCAATGCTGACTGAATATTGGGAGTAAGCAGAAGAGCAACCTTGAGATGGGGAAGGTTCCTAGAGGAAGCAGCTTATTTGGACACTTGGCAATCAGGATACAGCACAGAAACTGCATTGGTCACACTTGTGGATGACCTTTGGAAAGATCAGGGAATGCAAACCTCCTACCCTTCTTGATTTGCAATTCTTAACTACAGTGTAGTAGTCCTCAATTTTTCTGATGGTCTTAAATATTTCTTCATTTAGTCTTAATGTAAGAGGAAAAGAAAGCATCAGAAGTAAGAGGGTATCTTAAGTATACCCATAAACAGCAGCTTAATTTACATTGAAAAGTGTTCGTTCTTCTTAGTTCTTTGGGAACGGACTTTCCTGACCATTGGTAGGACATAAGAGTACTCTAGGGGACGCGGTGGCGCAGCGGCTTAATGACGCTGAAAGTTGCTGGCCAGAAATGGCTGACGCTTCGGCGGTTCGAGTCCAGCCCTCTCGCCAAACAGGGTGAGCTCCCGTTTCCTCCCCCCGTCCTGTCAACCCAACAGGGCGAAAACTCACGTGAGTAGATAAATGGGTACTCTCACTCCAGTGGGAGGAAAAATGCTGGCGGCGCCTTGCAAAGGAGTCAGGAGCAGTTGCCGGTAAGCGCGAAACCACGCTCGCCCCCAAAAAAGGCGAAGGAAAAAAAAAACCACCCCCACCCCGCCCCCCC